CTGTGCGACTTTTCGTAAATATTCACCAAGCGAACGTTATAAGTTAGTAAAGACAAACAACCTATGTTTGAACTGCTTAAGCGATAAGCATTTAGTTGCAAAATGCAATTCGAGTTCCGTATGTAGCAAGTGCGCCAGGAAACATCACACGCTATTACATTTTGAAAATAGCAACATAGCGGCGTCAAGTAAGGCGAATAAGGAATTCACCCCTACTAAGGTCAACGATTCTAGCGGTCGACCTGATGATGTCGCTCTGTGCTCATTGGCAAATATGGGAGCACAACCTCCTTCAACCGTGTTACTGGGTACGGCGCGTATTTTGGTTAGGGATTCGCGTGGAAACAAACAAAGCGTCCGTGCACTGCTGGACAGCGGAGCCCAAAATAGCTTTATAACACGACAATGTTGTCAGCGCTTAGGCTTAGTAATAAATAGGTCACTTTCATGTCCTGTAGTTAAAGGCATCGGAGGTACTAGTAAAGCGACACAGGGATATATAAATTTAAAATTTTATTCTCGGATAGATCGTAACGTTAACTTTGATATAAATGCACTAGTAGTAGATAGGGTCACTGAACGGTTGCCAACCGTTTCGGTTGACACCTCGGCAATGATTGAATTTAAAAATTTGACTCTAGCAGACGACACTTACGCCGTTCCTGGAAACATAGACATGCTCATTGGGGCATCGCTTTTCCCTCATCTTTTGTTAAACAATAAGGTCAGGGGCAACTCCTCGCATACCGCGCCTTACGCACTGGAAACCGTATTGGGCTATGTGATCCTTGGCTCCGCCCCCATCCTAGATAGTATTTCGGCAGCCTCTTATTGTGGTATGGCTGTCGAACCGCTCGAGTCGTTAGTCCGCAAATTTTGGGAGATGGAGGAGGTGAACGTCCCACCCATAGCTAGTTCAGCTGACAGGATATGCGAGGAAATTTACGTCCGCACGACCGTTCGTGATCGCGACGGTAGATATAGTGTAGCGCTACCCTTTAAGGGAGATGTTTTATCTCTCGGCGATTCGCGTCAAATGGCGGAAAAACGTTTCTACAGCTTGGAGCGTAGGATGCTCGCTTCGCCCCAGTTAAAGGAAGCTTACGACGGCGTCATTAACGAATATATAAGAGAAGGTTACATATCACTTGTGGCTTCGAAATTAGATAACTACGAAGACACACCGTCGTATTTTATACCACACCACGGAGTCATTAGAGAGGACAAACTTACATCTAAATTACGTGTAGTGCTCGACGCTAGTGCTAAAACTAGCACTCACCTGTCGCTTAACGATATCCTCTATAGTGGGCAAAATTTACAGGGCAGTTTATTTGATATAATAGTCAATTTTCGTTTGTTTAGTATAGCACTATCCGCCGATATTCGCCAAATGTTTCTTTGCATAGGGGTCCGTGAATGCGACCGTAGATTCCAGCGCATTTTATATCGTTTCAACCCAAAGGAACCTCTAATGGTGTTTGAATTTAACCGCGTTTGTTTTGGTTTAAAGTCGAGCCCATTTCATGCGTTACGCACGGTGAGACAGCTCGCTCACGATGAAGGTCCCTCTTATCCTAAAGCTAAGAGGGCAATTGAGAGCGGATTATATATGGATGATTTTGTGTATTCGGTCGATAGCGTGGAGGAGGCCACCCTAACCACCGCCGAGGTTATAAGGCTCATGAAATCGGGTCAATTCGATCTTGTGAAGTGGACTAGTAATTCGCGTCCGGTTTTAGATACAATCCCACTATCACACCGTCTTTCGGCGATAAAGGAATTCGACGATTCCGATACACACAAGGTGCTCGGTCTGTGTTGGTCACCAGAGTCCGACGTGTTTAGCCTTAAGGTAAATCCGCCCGTAGAGAAATGCACAAAGCGCACAATACTGTCATGCGTTGCTAGATTATGGGACGTCATGGGTTTCGTAGCTCCGGTGGTACTATACGCTAAGCTTTTGATTAAACAACTTTGGTTATTTGAATGCGATTGGGATGACTCGCCGCCTGACAGCATTGTTCGATTGTGGCAGCGCTTTAGAGAGGAACTTCCTTTACTAAGAGAAATTAAAATACCGCGTCATATAAATGTCGATAGAAATAGCAGCATAACGGTTGTTGGATTTGCAGACGCCAGCGAGAAGGCTTACGGGGGCGTTGTATATTTCCATGTCCAGAATAATGGTAGAAATTCGATTAGCCTCATTAGTTCTAAGTCGAGAGTCTCCACCCGTAAGGTTGTTTCTCTGGCGCGCTTAGAGCTTTGCGCAATATTAGTACTCACCAAGCTTACCACAGTTATCGGCGCATGTAGGGATAGAGTTCACATAGAAAGAATATTTGCCTTTTCCGACTCCACCGTCGCCTTATGTTGGGTTCATTCTTCACCCCACCGTTGGGATACGTTTGTCGCGAACCGAGTGGCCAAGATCCAAGACGAGTTAGAAACGCGGAACTTTTATCACGTGTCCGGTAAGGAAAACCCTGCCGATTGTCTATCCCGGGGACTCACCCCGATGCAAATAATGGACCACCCGCTTTGGTTCCATGGACCTTCTTGGGTTCACTTGGATCCCCTCACAATGGCCAATAACCGATTTCGAACCTTCGTCAGTGTCACAACCGCCGAAAGAGAAGAGACACGCTCTAGTGGCGAACGTTTCGAGCGAGGTTTCTCCAATCATTGCTCTGGCGAACCGCTTGTCCTCTTGGTCGAAATTATTGCGTAGCGTAATTTACGTTTGTCGATTCGCGAAGCTTTTACCGCGACGTTCGTATGTCTTAGCATCCGATTACAACTATGCCGAGTCGCTAGTATTACGTGAACTTCAACGTGCACACTTCTCTGAAGAAATTACAAGATTACAATCGAATAGAGCTTGTAGTCGCGCCTTTCAACGCCTTAAGCCATTTTTACAGGATGGGATTGTAAGGGTAGGTGGACGCTTGTCCAACTCGCAGTTGAGTTTCGACCAACGGCACCCTATAGTTTTACCGCGTAAAGACCATATCATGAACTTATTAGTCGATTATCATCATAAATTGAACTCGCACGCTGGCCCCGATTTATTGATGTCGATCTTGCGTCAGAATTATTGGATTCTTTCTGCACGTAGTTTAATACGCAATCGGGTGCACAGATGTATAGCTTGCTTTCGGGCACGCCCCAAGCCGTCATTTCCGGAAATGGCGGAACTTAGATCTTGTAGAGTGATACAATCGGTAAAGCCCCTTCACGCACACCGGGTCTGATTTTGCTGGTCCGTTTAAGGTCACGCTCACTCGCGGGCGTGGTATAAGATCCACAAAGGCTTACGTCTGCATTTTCGTATGTCTAACTACTCGAGCAGTGCATATAGAACTCGTTGGTGATCTAAGCACAGCAGGCTTTATGGGTGCATTTAAAAGATTTCTATCGCGCAGAGGCCCTGTAAGTAGATTATATTCGGATAACGGTACGAACTACGTCGGTGCAAAACGTATTCTATCGGAACTACATGAGCTCTTAGCTAGCAAGTATTATAATTCGGAGTTCGCTCACATTCTAGCCGAGAACCGCATTGAATGGTCTCTGAACGTCCCAGCCGCGAGTCATTTTGGGGGCAATTGGGAGACTAATATTAAAAGTCTAAAGAGCCACTTATACCGAGTAATAGGAGATCAAATTTTGTCCTTCGAAGAGCTAAGTACGGTGCTCGCTCAAATTGAATGCGTAATGAATAGCCGCCCACTTTGTCGGACGTTATCTAGTGACCCCTCGGAACCGCTGGCTCTAACTCCAGCACATTTTTTGACTTTAACGCCTCTAAGGTATCTGCCCGCCGCGGATATGGATGAGAACAGACTTAACATTTCCACACGCCACAAATTATTAGATCGGTTAGTGCAATCGTTTTGGAAACGATGGAGGATGGAATACTTGCATACTTTGCAGTCTCGGCAAAAATGGAACACAGCGACAGAGCCTTTAGCTGTAGGAACCGTAGTTGTGCTCACTAAGGAGAATACGCCGCCTCTCCACTGGCCGTTAGGAATCGTCGAGGAGGTCTTTCCCGGTTCCGACGGAGTAATTAGGATAGCTCGCGTTAAGACCACGGTTGGGTCTTACCTACGTCCGGTTATCCGTTTGTGCCCCTTGCCTCTTCCATAATTTAAATTAGCTTTTTTGACTGAAATTGTAGTTTAATTTAGGTAATCTTAGCGTTAGTTAGTTATTTGTTAGTCGATCTTAGCTCTAGTTGTTTAGTTATTTTTTTTGAAGGAAATCCTTCAAGGGCGGGGGGAGATGGTTGCGCGGAAAACCATTCGCGTTTTTTATTTTTGACGGTAGGAATTTGTCGAATCATTATTCCCTTCCGAAACAATATCATTCGTACCCTCCTATCGACACATCGGGGTGGTGGGGTGGGAGGGGAAAGAAGACGATTCTAGAACATCGCGTAATCATCGGACCCGAGGATATATAAGACACGCGCGACCGACGCGCGCTCTCTTCTCCCGCCGCAGTCGTCGTTGAACTACAACCTCCTCTTCCCGCGCGCTCGTTTGGAAACACCTCGCTAGTGGAAACCGCTTTGGCCTGGAAGCAGTCGAGCTCCAGGAACCCGCCTCACCTCGTGTGAGATATCGTCGCGCACCGCCCCTCTCCGGAGTGTTCCGGAAGTCGCCGCTATAGTGATCGACAGGAAGAAGAAACCCCGGTGAGTCAATACTCCTTAATTATACCTGCTTGCTAATAATTTAACCCGCTCCAATTTGTGTTTTTTCCTAGTCAAGCAGGATTCCTTTCATCGATTCGACAAGTAATAGTTTAGTTTAGGGAAGAGCGAGTGCATTGTACCGCATGCTATAGTAGTCGCTTCACATAAGCATAGAAGCAATCGCATATACAGTCCACTTTAGTTAATATCTCGCGTAATAGGTTTGAGGTTTGACCGGGGAACTAGATTTTCGGCAGCCTTAAACACGTGGCTCCACCACATACTAAAGCACACTATGTCAGATAAAATAAATTACATTGGATATTCGCAAGGTGGAGGTACCTTCCTGATGATGAATTCTGAGAGACCGGAGTACAACGACAAAATTGGAGTGGGTATCCTTTTGGAACCTGCCACGAGACTCACTTATACAAGATCGCAGCTATTCAGACTTATTTTAGACTATTATCGAGCTAATTTACCTTATCTTTATCAAGTTGGAACTTACGAAGCTCTTCCCTTAGGTGGTACTGAGCAAGAGATTGCTGCATTCGTATGCAAGGATTATGTGCTTGCAGATACTGTTTGTAGAAAATTCCTGAGCTTAATTGACTCTTTTCACCCTGGTTCTATAGAGGCGGAAACAATACGTGTACTCATGGGTCATTTTCCGGCAGGAACATCAGTAAAGAATATGGCGTATTACGGTCAAGCTTTGAACGTCGATGTGTTTCAAAAATTTGACTATGGACCGTCTAGAAATTTGCAAATGTATGGCACCGCTCAGCCGCCTACTTTCAACCTCAGCGCTGTGACAGTGCCTGTTGTTGTTATTCATGGAAGAAATGATTTTATGACTTCACCAGCTGACGTAGATTGGGTGACCAGTCACTTGCCCAATGTACTCGAAAATTATTACGTTGTGCATCCACTTTCAAATCATTTTGATGTACCTTTCAGTCAGTTTACTGCTAGATATATTTTACCGAAAATTAAACAATATTTGGAGATGTTTAGCTAAGATAGACACATTTATTGGGACTTTTGTTTTCTCTAATATATAGATCGATGATAAACATTTAGTTTATATTAACCGCAACTAATTTCGCGTGGAATTAGTACTTCTGTCATAATAAGTTTGCTTACTTATCTTCACGCACAATCCCTAACGGGGTAGCCAGAGAGAACAGATCGCCAAGTGTCACGATCCTTACATACCTCTTTCGCTTCTTTCAGGTTTATTAACTTCTTCATACATGCACGTCTAGGTATCCGAGTACTCTTGACCTTCCCCTCTTCGAGCAATTTGCTCACATGGTCTTCGAAAGTTAGCCTCGGTCTACCTCGACACCTTTTAATATTTACTTTCGCTCTATATATTTTCTTCACCATTCGGTCTTCACTCATTCGCTCAACGCGCCCAAACCATTGGAGTACGCCCCTATCAATTTTTGTGATAAGGTCATCTTTCAATCCTGCCATATTGCGAATCTCTTCCTTTCGCTTTCGATCGGCTATGGTAACGCCACACATTTTACGAAGAGATCGCATCTCCACTGCATTCAACTTGCTTTTATGCTTCTTCTGGCATACCCACGTTTCGCTGCTATATAACAAAGTCGGTACCAACACTGCGTTATGTATTGCAAGGCGTGCACTCTTCACCACGCCTTGCCTTTTGATTAATGCATTCAGGGCACCATTGACTTTGTTTCCGGCAGCGACGCGCCTATCCACATCTAAATCACATCTTCCATCCCGGCTGAAAGCACTCCCCAAGTATACAATTTCATTTACCTGTTCTAGACGTTCCTGATTTACCCATATTTCACATTTCGTTCTCTCTTCGTCCTTTTCAAATACCATAATAAGTGGTGATGATAATTTGTTTGCACTCTTAATTTTCAGGGAAGATCGAGAAAGGAATACTCTGTAAAAAAACAATCAGTTAGTCAGTCAATTAGATATACTAGCAAGTGCACAAATACACGGACACATAAACGAACGGACCAAGAAACGAATTTGGAAAACTCTCGATTGTGTTTTACATTGTAAAAGTTAGTTAAAGTTACAGCCTATATTCATTACATTTCATATTGTAAATAAACACCAGTACGCACCTCCTCGATTACATCAAATTAATTCCAATTCGGAAACTATTTAGCATACCTTGCCATAAAACAAATTTATACGCGCATTATCCCTTAGCCAAAATATGTAACACGTACAATGAAATTATGAACAAGATACCGGACATTGACATTTTCAACGACTCAGCCCGATGCTTCAAAAAAAAATTACCAATTTCTCTTTACCCTCTCAGCACACACTCATTTCTTAGTTAGTTTTTTCTTAATATAGGTTATTTTGTATTTAGTACCGTTATAATATAATAAGCTACATATCAAGGTAAATGTTGTGTATACCTGTAATTGGAAAACATATTTAACCATATATATTTGTTATCGTATTGTTGTTAATGTTTCATTTATTTTGCTGTTGGTATACCTTATAAATAAATAAATAAGTGAACAATAAGATGACTATATTATGGTAAAACACAATTTGCTCCTGAAATTTGCTAGCCTATTATTGGTTTTCATACAATAACAGATAAGAGGTAGCCCTAAATAATTAAAGCCCACAAGCTCCATCACTCAGTATTGGTACTAAAGTATGGGGCACCAAATTATAGCCATTGATAATAGATCCTTACATATGAAATTGGCGTTTTGTACGGGAGGAATATAAAGACAATTTTTTTTGTAAATATATTTAATTAATCAAAGTATGCACCGTTGTTATCTATGCACTTTTCCATCTCATAGGTAGTTGATTGATCTCTTTACTAAAAAAACCATGGGGGTGAGAATCAATAAGCTCTTTGAAGGTAGTTTGGACTGCCGCATCGGAGTTGAATTTTTGTCCTAGTAAGAAGTTGAATAAAACTAAATTTACGGATTTTATCGCGTTTATTTCACTACTTTTACTTATTTTTAATTCCCGACGTTTCGGGTGCTTTACAGCAACCATGGTCACGGGGGACTGAGATGTTTGACGTCCCAATGTCATAGTTAGTGCGGCTACCTTCAGTTTTTGAATATTAATTTTTGGTCCGATTTACGCAAAACGAGCTTATAGTATCATGAAGTCTTGCAGTGGTATGCTTAGGTTTGGGTTTAATTTTGTTAATTATAGGATCCCAAGCAGGTGGCAGCACCCATACATCTTCTCTATTGAAATTTGGATGTTTTTTTAATTTCAATAGCCTCGCGTATCATCCTTGGTAGGAATCGGTGTTCTTTTGCGAGAATTTGTGGTTTATCAAAACGAATGTAATGGTGGGGACGATCTTGAACATGTTCGAAGACTGCAGACTTCCCGGAGCGTCGGTGCTTCACGTCAGCTATATGTTCTTTCACGCGGGTTTTAATGGATCTTTTTGTTTGACCTATGTAAAGAGACCACATTCACAATCTAACTTGTACTCTCCTGCATCTTGTAGAGGGATATTACACTTGACGGATGGTAAAAATTGACTAATCTTCTTCGGCGGCTTGTAGTATGTTTTAATAGAAGCTCGCTTCAAGATGTAGCCAACCTTGTCTGTGACTCCACTGACATATGGTAGTACAGCAGGTACACGCTCGACTGTGGCCGGCTTCACTCGGTCACTGTGACGTAGGCGCGGGACCCGAAGCTTGTTGTCTTGCAATACTTGCTTGACATGCTGAAGTTCGGCGGCCAGATGTTTTCTGTCACAGATCCCTCGTGCTCTCTGAAACAAAGATTTACCCACGGTAGCTAACTGTGAAGGATGATGGTGAGATTCACCATTTAAATATCGGTTGGTATGGGTCTTTTTTCTATACACAGTGTGACCAATTGTGTTATTAGGATTTCGAATGACTAAAACATCTAAGAAAGCTAAAGAATTATTTGCCTCTAACTCCATTGTGAATTGTATTTTAGAGTTTATAGAGTTAAGGTGGTTTAAAAATGCAGTTACTTTGTCAGATGGTAAAATTGTGAAAGTATCGTCTACGTACCGCTTGTAGAATCTTGGATTTACAGGAGCAGTAAGAAGGGCTTTCTCCTCGAAGTCCTCCATGAATATGTCAGCGACTATGGGAGATACAGGTGAGCCCATCGCCACACCATCTACTTGCTTGTAGAACTCTTCCTTCCACAATAGATAGCCAGATGTGAGGCAGTGTTTGAGTAATACTGCATATTCAGCAGGCATGTTATTATATTCTAGCTTCCTAGTTACAATTGATATGCAGTCTTCAATAGGTAGGCAAGTGAATAGTGACTGAACATCAAAACTGACCATAGTTTCATTGTCAGCGAGATGTAGGTCTTTTATCTCACTAACAAAATGGTATGAATCCTTTGTGTGTGCTCTGGTATGTCCTCTCAGTGGTGACAGTACTTTTGCCAAGTGTTGTGCCAGCTTATAAGTTGGTGAATCGATCTGGCTCACTATAGGACGTAGTGAAGCGTTTGGTTTGTGTATCTTTGGTAACTCATACAACCTCGGTGGTTTGGCACATGATGGTATTAGCGAATTCACGTCGAGATTTAATTTTTCGGAGTGTTTCTTTATTAAATCGCTAGTTGCTTTAAGCGTGTTAGTTGTGGGGTCTGTTTTGACCTTTTTGTATGTACTTTCGTCCGATAAAAGCTGTAGTATTTTAAAATTATACTCTGACGTGTCCATTATTACCGTAGCATTTCCTTTATCCGCGCGGAGAATCGTTAGATCTGGTCTGTTCCGTAAGTTAATCAACGCTGTAAATTCGTCTTTAGGAAGGTTTGGTTTCGGCACTGAACTACGACGTAACAAGGACGAAATATCTTGACGTATGGCCTCCAAATCTTCCTTACCAATATTATTTTTAAACAGACAATCCTCGACGCTGCAGATAATTTCTTCGTACGGGATTTTTCGCGGTGTTAATGCGAAATTCATTCCCTTCGCTAACACCTTTATTGTTGGTTCGTCCAGTGTATGTTTTGACAGATTATAGACCGTGCGTTGTTTATTGTTTGCGTCTGTGGTCAACGGTTGTGTTTCGTTCTGACGTTGACTTAGATGGTTAGCATTTGATTTGATCGTTAATTTTTGGTATTTTTCTATTTGTTTATTTTTGCATTCATTGTATTTTGCTGTTTCTCGTTTGTTTAAAGTTTCGATGCAATTATTAAAATCAAATGTCGTTAAAACTGTCTTTAGTTCACTGAACAAATTGTCTATGGTGTTGTTTATGAAATGTAAATCGAACCGTTTCTGCTGAATCACCGTTCGTAACAACTTTTTACTTGCCTGATTTAAGATCTTTGCGCTTCCTCGAATGTCCTTTTTTGTTGATATTTTGACACACGTAGGAATGAGATTATGGTCTCTGCATCTCTTCAAGAAATTTAAAGATGTTATATATCTTGCGCGCTTGGTTTTAAGATCTTCTAACCGGCGAATTTTATTTGCTATTACCAGTCCGTACTGGTTCACATAATGATTTCTTAAATTTACGCGAACACTACACATTGAATAAAACTAAATTTACGGATTTTATCGCGTTTATTTCACTACTTTTACTTTTTACTTGCTGTAAAGCACCCGAAACGTCGGGAATTAAAAATAAGTAAAAGTAGTGAAATAAACGCGATAAAATCCGTAAATTTAGTTTTATTCAATGTGTGTGTTCGCGTTTGTCATGTAGTAAGAAGTTATCCAAATTCCGGAAAAAATGATAGTTTGTTAGAGCAAGGTACGGGGAGTACGGTGAATGTCGCAGATATTTCAATTGTAGCTCAATTAACTTAGTGTTTGTTTGTTGTGCAGTGTGTGGTCTTGCGTTGTCGTGAAGCAGCAGTGGCCTAAAGCGATTGACCAATCTCAGTTTTTTAGCAGCTAGTTCTTCCTTCATGGTTCACAGTTGCTGACAAAAGATATCTGCCGTAATCGTTTGGCCAGATTTTAGAAAGATGTAGTGAACGACACCGGCGCTAGTCCACCAAACACTCACAAGTAACATTTTCTTAGTCAATTTTCGTTTAGGGCAAGATTTGGCTGGGTCTCCAGGTTTCAGCCACTGCAACGAGTGCTTCCGATTATCGTACAGTATCCACTTTTCATCACAAGTAAAGATTCGATTTAAAATTCCTTCATTTTTGTGTCAGATGAGTAAAGTAACACAGCAGTCAACGCGTGTTTGCAAGTTCGATTCACTCAATTCATGAAGTAGCTAGCCATCGTTCATTTTTAGTTTTTTTTTTACTTTTCCGATTTGCTTCAAATGAATTAATACAGTTTTATCACTTACCCCAAAGCCTGCAGCTATCTCTGAAGTGCTTTGTGATGGATCCGCTTCCACAATAGCCTTTAATTAATTTTAATTTCCAGAACGAAAATGTTGAGACCAAAAACGTACCGTGCTTTATGTTTCGAAACCAGTGCGTACACATCATTAATCCTTCGAGCTGTTTCTGCAGCACTGGTGCCACCGTAGAACTCGTACTCGTAAATATACCGATATTTTACGTTTACCATTGTGCGGTTATAAGCGATGCCAAAAAAAATAATGAGGAAAAAACAAATAAATGACTTTTTTCAAAACCCAAATGCACCAGCTAAATGAATTTATAAATTTGAATTTGGAATTCTTAACCAAAGAGGAGATATTTCAGATCAAAGTGGTCAGTACGACAAAACGCTAATTTCATATGTAAGGACCCAATGTTTAAAAAAAAAATGAAAACTTCAATCCAACGTCTTACTAAAATAAGGTACATAATGTTTATAAATATAAAAAAAATGTTTGATATTTTACGCCCTCAACTTGAGGTTTGCTCTGCTTTCACAAATTTCCTTTAAAGTTCTCCTAGGTAGGACTTGACATACATCTTTATTCTGTGTTCCCTTACATCATACACCAATTATGGCAAAGACTGTGTCCTCACCAGAATGGTTAAAATTTTGAACAGTAAATTCTCTCATATTGACCCATATATCGATTCAAAAAATTCATTTAAACTAAAGGTAGTACGGGCTTTGACAGGAGTAGGCAATTAATCTTTATTGTTTATGTTGGTACAATTTGTAGTTTTATATTTTAAAGCAAGATCGACTCTGTGTTGACACATCGTTTTTTGGAAAGCCCATTGGAAGGAAGCTTCGCAAGAAGCACATTGTGCCAAACCCAGCCGAAGGCCTTCGCTATATCCAATGCCTACCCCATGGACTCTACTGCCTCCACGCATCTACGAGTTAGGTAAACCAGAAGATCACCAGCTGAGCGACCCCGGCGGAAACAACGTTGATGGTCACTAATCAGCTGGTGATCCTCTAGGTACCTCATGAGCTGGCGGTTAATAATTGTTTTCATTATTTTAGACAACAAAGAGGTGATAACGATAGGCCTGTAGTTGGATGGATCTGAGCTGTCGTTTTTTTTTAGTAGGGTATATTAAAGATATCTTCTATGAGTTCCGGACTACGCTTGAGGATTAAGAGTACCAGAAAAGAACCGTTAAAACCGGTGACAAATCCGGAGCATACGTCTTCAGCACAATAGGAGGAATGCCATCTGGCCCACTGGACATGTTGACGTCCTGGGAGAGGAGCGCTCTGCGCACCGAGCGCTGGGTAAACAGCACATTTTACATGGGGCACTCACACCGTGGAATGATCGGCGATGTATTCAACCCGTCGTCAAGAGTCAAGTTGGACGCAAATAGAGAGCCCATCAGATCGGTTTTATCGTTTCTGACATGAACCAGTGAACCGTCCTTCCTGTACAGAGATAGGAGAGATAGTCCACAGCGTTTTCCTTGGACAGATATGGCGAGAATTCAGAATTCACAAGTTTCCAAAGGAAGTTGAAGTATTTTCTCACCAATTCTGCCGATGTTCTCTGTCTTTACCTTGACAATGACACTTTGGAAGGACCTAGAGGCGGAATCATACTTCTTTTTAAGAGCGCTGGTATTTGCATCCCGAGATGTCAATGAGTCAGCCCACGCCCGATAACACTCCAGCTTAAGGCGTGAGGCAATTTTGCAGGATTGACTAAACCATGTATGGGTTCTGCTTGCAATTTGTACCACAGATGATTGAATAAGAATTTCCATTCCTTATAGCACCACATCAGTGACAGAATCAGCAATAACACTGGGAATATATGGCGAGAAGCAAACTCACCCCCAAGAGTAGGATGCAATAAAAGATCATTAATCCTCCTCCGGGCTCAATCGGCTGACCTATAATGCCAAACAAGGGGACAACTTGCAGAACTCCATATCAGACAATGGTCCGAGAAGCCAAAAGGAACATCGACGAAGACCTGATATTCATCCGGTTGAAAGTCAGCAGAAGGTACAACAGGGAAGGTACATGATCTTCCACATCTGAGATCCACGTAGGCAAGGAAACCAGTTGTGTCAGATCATATGCCAAAGCAAATTTATAAACAGATATACCCGCATGATCAGTTGAACGGGAACCAAGCCACAGCGTGGTGGGCGTTAAAATCACGAAGCACCACTGTCTCCGCGAATGGAACCTGATGTAGTTCCTGTTAAACGTGGTTGATAAGTGGTTCTGTCTTGGCATTACCGCTATGGGACATATAGAGGCACCTGTAGACGCGGTGATGGTAGCGCAGCCGTAGAATGGACAGGCCCGTAAATTCAAGACTGCCGAGGTGTCAAACAGATGTCCTCTCTGACGTACATGTTAACTCCAGCCCAGGGTACAATGGGTGTTAGGAGAGATATGAAAAGAGGACACTTGTGTCTCGGTTAGAAAGAACAACGCCGTTTTCAAATGGCAGTAGACGGCGTTAAGGTTTGAATGAAATCCCCTCATGTTGCATAAATTCCCTGATAGCGTAGCAGGGGGCACCTTTGTCTTATTGCTGTTCGCCCCAAGCAGGTTTAGTCTCGAGCGGAATTTAACCCAGAATACGCGGAGCAAACGGTGCAGCCACGCTCAGTAAGAGTAGGGTTGCTTGGGCCTGGATGTTCAGCAAGGGATATTATTCGATTTAACCATGTTATGGGGGAAAGGGCGAATTGAGCCTCCGGCCACCTGTACTCACCAAAAACCCTGGTTCGAGCCGGCCCATAAGTTCAACAGCAAAAGCTGCAGCGTGGCTCTACTGCTGTTATAATTATAATTATAACTTTATCAGTGTTATAGCCAGAGAATTTAAGAAATATATAAAAATAATTTAATATAGCTATATATATATATATATATATATATATATATATATATATATATATATATATATATATATATATATATATAGGAGACAAAATTATTTTGATTACAAGTTATCTTGAAATGTGAAATATATTACACTATAATCCTGTCTAACAAATTATCACATTAAATAATTTATAACGGAATACACAATAAATCAAAAAGATAGAAGCCCACATTTAAATACCACACAAGGTTCACTTGAGTCATTGGTAAAATGTTTTCGAAAGCATATTTAAATTTACTTTTATTTTTAATCTTGATTCAAAATGTGATCGGATATAAAAGAGCACAAACAGAAAGAGAACTCAAATTGCTGCAAGGATATCCTTTAGAGTCACTTCTCAACTTCACCGAGCTAGCCACCGAATATGGATACGTATCTGAACAGCACACGGTCACCACAGATGACGGTTATATTTTGACAATGTTTAGAATAACCAGAGGAAAAAATTGTCATGGACCAATAAGGAACCCACCTGTGTTGCTTATGCACGGCTTACTCATGAGCTCTGATAGTTGGATGGATGCAGGCCCTAAAGCTGGATTAGCATACCTCATATCTGACTTGTGTTATGACTTATGGGTTCCCAATATGCGAGGAAGTTACTACTCGAAGAAGCACATTAAACTCGACCCGGCAAAAGATCAGGAATTCTGGGATTTCTCTACAATGGAAATCGCTTACTATGATATTCCAGCTACAATTGATTACATACTAAAGCACACTATGTTTGATAAAATAAATTACATTGGATATTCGCAAGGTGGAGGTACCTTCCTAATGATGAATTCTGAGAGACTGGAGTACCACGACAAAATTGGAGTGGGTATCCTTTTGGAACCTGCCACGAGACTCACTTATACAAGATCTCAGCTATTCAGGCTTCTTTTAGAATATTATCGAGCTAATTTACCGTACCTATATCAAATTGGAATTTACGAAGCTCTTCCTTTAGGTGGTATTGAGCAAAAGTTTGCTGCATACATATGCAAGGATTACGTAATTGCAAATACCGTTTGTAGACAATTTCTGAGCTTAATTGACTCTTTTCACCCTGGTTCTATAGAGACGGAAACAATACGTGTGCTCGTTGGTCATTTTCCGGCAGGAACGTCAGTAAAAAATATGGCGTATTACGGTCAAGCTTTGAACGTTGATGTGTTTCAAAAATTTGACTATGGATCGTCTAGAAATTTGCAAATGTATGGCACCGCTCAGCCACCCACTTTCAACCTCAGCGCTGTGACAGTACCTATTGTTGTTATTCATGGAAGAAATGATTTTCTGACTTCACCAGCTGACGTAGATTGGGTGACCAGTCACTTGCCCAATGTACTCGAAAATTATTACGTTGTGGATCCACTTTCGAATCATTTTGATGTACCTTACAGTCAGTTCAATGCTAGAAATATTTTACCGACAATTAAAAAATATTTGAAGATGTTTAGCTAAGATAGGCTTTGTTAGTAATATATAGATCAATGATAAACATTTGTTTATATTAGCTGCAGCCGCACCCTCAACTTATTTCGCGTGGAGTTAGTACTTCTGTAATGATAAGTGGTGATGATAATTTTTTGGAACTGTTTATCGTCGGTGAAGATCGAGAAAGGAATTCTGTGTAAAAAAAAATAAGTTAGTCAGCCAATCAGATAAACTAACAAGTGCACAAATACACGGGCCCATAAACGAGCCAAGAAACGAATTGGGAAAACTCTCGATTGTGTTTCATATTTTAAAAGTTAGTTAAAATTGCAGTTTATATCCAATACATTCATATTGTAAATAAACACCAAAATGACTATAATATGATAAACCACAATTTTCTCCTGAATTTTGCTAGCCAATTATTGATTTCCATACAATAACAGATAAGAGGTGGCCCTAAAAATCAAAGCCCACAAGCTCTATCACTAAGTATTAGTGCTAAAGTATGGGTCACCATATTATTTCCATTAATATTTTAAAAAATATATAAATGAAAACTTCAATCCAACTAAAATAAGGTAGATAATTTTTATAGTTATAAAGAAAATGTTTGATATTTTACGCGCTCAACTTAATTGCCCTGTTCTGCTTTCACAAATCTCCTTTAAAGTGCCCCTAGGTAGGACTTAACATACAACTTTATTCCGTGTTCCCTTACATCATACACCAGAATTAAGCTACTATTTTATGCCGGTATTCTATGAGAGCGTAGTCCATCCCCGGTCGAGCCGACCCATTCGTGCTACAACTATACTTATAACTGCAGCATGGCTTTATGACGTATAATATATAATATTAATATTATATAATATATAACTTATATAGTATAAAACGTAGATGCATATCAATTTAGATGTCAATTGTCAATTCAATTTCTTATTGATACAAAAAGAATTTACGAGTAATGTAATGTGTGTATGTGAGTGTATACGTGGGTAAATTGTATGTATATATATATATATTTATTTATATGTTTGTATATAAGCACGTATAGTTTATATATGCTTACCTATATGTATAAGTATTTAATTTAAATATGATTATACTTTATGTTGCTGTATGTAAAATTTATATCTATGTACACATATGTATAGGTTTATATATGTCTGTGATTAAATATATTATTTTATTGAAGCATAAATATTTTCCTAGATCAGGTTATGATTTGATCAAATAGTTTTTGATCTTAGTTTTTTTACTTTTTTTTTTCATACTTCTGATTCGTGTTAAATTGTTAAAAGTCGATGACTATTATTAGCCCTATGTAAAGACATTTATATAAGAATAATATATGACAGAATTAGGGCTGTGGTTATCCCTAATAAAAAAAATTGTCACACTTACAAAGTTAATAAAGTTACGTATGTTGTTATTTCGTAAGTTACATTACGTCTCTATCTGGAAACAAATTAAAAATAAATCACATTAAATCTAGGGAAGTCCTTTTACCCTTAAGTTATACAAGTGATAGGGACCAATATCAGTTGAGTTTTTCTCAGTAGCTGCCTGGAGTCAGGATGTTAGCAGTATTTATTCCTGAGCCTCATAAAGCACGTGAAGCCGTTGTATTTGCGTCTGAACTCTGTATTTTCGTGCCAGGTTACCATCCCATCGAACTATAAAAGTGTACTAGTATAAAATTCGAATGGTCTAAGTATAAAATGCCTGAACCTGTGCTTGCGCACATACTCGTTAACTATAGCCTGTCTTCCACCATCACAGCATAATGTACCTACTTTTTGGTACTTACGAACGTACCACTGAACACCAATGTTGTCCTGCACAGATGCCTGGTCTCCGTTGAAACTGGCCACTATAACGGAAAAAAAATTCAAAAGCATTCAACACTCCAAAATGTATAGCACCGAATGCAAAACACCTGATTGGACACGGTTCAGAAAGATTCGCATAGAAATTGTGCTATCAACAACACTCAACACTTCCCCTTATAAATCACATTTTATGTTATTTATAAGGGGAAGTGTTGCATATTTAGATGTTTAATATTTGGTGTTATAACTTTTAAAAATTCTTTACCAAATAAATCTTAAATAGAAACCATAAATATTAGAAGCCTTACTTATGTTAGGCAGCTAAATTTATTTCTATTTGATAGTCCCTTAACATAATGTCATATGTCACCAATATGAAGTTTAAATGTTTTAAATATAATAATCTGTATAAAAAGGCTAACAATAAGAATATGAAATGAAAAATGAAAAATGATTTATTGATTTACAATGATACATTTTAAGCCAGTTGCAAGGGCCCCTGTACCAGGTTGGGACTACTACTGGGTACCCCGCTCATCCACCAAGACAATACAATGTTAATCAATAAATAACAAAAAGCAAGGCAAGATCTAGCATTAGGAAGTAAATGAAATTTGGAATATAATAATAATTACATGATAAGCATGCATGCAAAGCATGCACGCGTTTGTGTGTGTGTGTGTGTGTGTGTGTGTGTGTGTGTGTGTGTGTGTGTGTGTTTTGTGGTGTGTGGTAGTGCTTTAACAATTGGTGTGGCTGTTTGAAGTATAAAAGTTATGTCACTACACGTTTAACTTTAGTTGACGCCAAGGGGTAAATTGCCGCCGTGGAGGAAGGCGTGCCATGTGTTCTGGTGCGCTTTACTTGGGAAGGAGAACGGGGAGGAATATTCCTCTCCCGATGAGGTGCTGCCATGGGGCGGCAGTCGCTGGTGGGGCCGCGGATGTGTGCGAAAGCGTTCCCGTAGCCCTGCCAATATGCGACGAAGGTGGAACACCATGGGGTTTTAGTCGGTGCGAGTCCGACATAACCCGTCCTTGCCCCCGCGAGGCGGGTATGCGTAGGCATTTCCCCATGTTAAAAAAAAGGGGTAAATATTCAATCTGCTGTTGAATTTGTTGTAAATAGATATAGATTGAAATACGTATTGCTTTTGCTTAAACTTTGTTTTACTTTGTGGTATATTGCAAATTTTGGTACTCCTACGTTTTGGTGTCTGATGAGGTATGAAAGATAAATGTCGATGCTTTTTTAAAATGCAATTCAATATATACATCTGGCGAGTAGTAAGCAATTTGTAAGACTTATGTAGTTCAAAAGTTGAAAATCGAAACGGTTTCACGAACATCACCCTAATTAGAGCTCTTTGAGGTCTTTCTAGTCCTATTAGATGTGTTTTTGCTGCACCACCCCAAACAGGTATGCAATAACTCATCACCGATTGCGCTAGAGCTTTATAGGTGGTGATAGGAGTTGTTTCATTTGCAACACACCTGAGTTTTTTAAATATCCATGTTAGTTTCCTTATCCTGTCAACAATGTTTTCAATGTGTTGACTCCAGGTAAGGTGCTGATCAATAGTTACACCGAGATATTTGATGGTACTAGTCCTAGTGATTTTATCACATGAGCAATTATTATAGCTATCTAAATATGGCTTATGGCAGGTATGAACTGTTAGGTTAAATTTAGAATTTGGTTGTGTATTTTTCCGTATAGTAAAAGGTATGAATTTAGTTTTGTTAATGTTAAGGGTCATTGATTGATATGATAAGGATGATTGTTATGAAATATTTTCGATCATCATATCAAAAATATTCAAGTCCACAAATAAACATGGGCTACATTTTTATAGAAGATGGAGCAAACTAGCATGCGGCTCACTTGATGTTTAGTGACTACCGCCGCCCATGAACAACCGCAACACCAGGAGAATTGCAGGTGCCTTACCGGCCTTTTATAAAGGAGTAAGCTCTTTCTTGAAGGTCCCTAAGTCGTATCGGTCCGGAAAAGTCGCCGGTAGTAAACAATTTTACAGAAACGTTGCACCGGTAAGAAAACTACTAGTAAAATGTACAGTGGTGGACCGCCAAGCATCCAGATGGTGAGGAATGGTATCGTAAATTTTGACGCGATGTGCGTTCGAAAAAAATGGCGGCTGGAACTAATCTGAACAACTCCTCAGAATATTATGGTAGATATGATAGAAAACATATAGAGATGCAACATCCCTACGTATCGCCAGTGAATCGAGCCGATCAGAAAGAACTTGGTCATCAACGATTCCAGTCGCTCTGCGCTGGATGCGGTGTATAAAATGTTGACGCCGAGGATTCTAATGCTAGATGAGGCAGCAAGGGGTGCCTTCAAATTGAGGATATATGACAAAGGGTTTCTTTTTAGCGGTTAACGCGCAAACTTGTGTCTTCTGAGGATTGAATTGGACTAGATTTAGTCGTCCCCAATCCGAGACTTTGTTAAGCAAAGACTCGACTTCAGACACAAGTTTGTCCCAGTCCTCGGCGACGATTTTCCGACAAATATTGACCCGGCCGGTGTATAAGACATCACCAGTGCTGTCGTCTACATAGTAATGAATGTTATCAGTTTGGAACATATCAATGATATGCAGAAGAAACAGCGTTGGTGATAGCACGCAGCCTTGTGGAACACCAGCGTTAATAAGCTTATAAACAGAGCATGCACCGTCTACTACGACCTTGATGCTCCAATTAACAAAGAAACTAGTGATCCAATCTCACAATTTCTCGGGAAGCCCATAGAAAGGGAGCTTCGAAAGAGCGCTTTGTACCAGACCCGATCGAAGTCCTTCGACTCTATTGCCTCCGCCCATCTATGAGTAAGGTGGACCATAAGATCACCAGCTGATCGACCACAACAGAAACCGTATTGGCAGTCACTGATCAGCTGGTGATCCTCAAGTTACCTCATAAGCTGACAGTTTACAATAGAATCCATTATTTTGGAGAACAATGAGGCGATGGCGATGGGGCTGTAGTTGGACGGGTCTGAGCAGTCGCCTTTTTTAGGAATCGGGTGGATCAAAGCTGTCTTTCAAAAATTCGGGACTACGCCTTGGGAGTATGAGTACCGGAAAAGATGCGTTAAAACCGATGCCAACTCCGGAGCACACGTCTTCAGTACTTTATCTTCTCTAAGGTATATCCACCT